GAGTACATTCGTAGTTGGCGGTGGATTATAACAAAGATTGATTATTTTAACAACAGTTATTATAACAAAGATTATTATAAATTGCTTGATTACTTTGACAGTTCCTACGTTATTTACTTTATAATTATTAATTATAATAAATCTATCGAATTGCGCCAAATTGTTGCGTATTTTTCTGATTCCCAAAGCCATACCTTCAAAGAACATGGTGGTGGTGGTGGTGGTGTATTGAGAATACGGCAAAGCACACTAGAGCTATCTGCCTAAGGAGAGGGATGCCTTCGTGGAGGACTTTCTAAGGGAAACTGGCTCGTATACACGTTACACATGGGGAAAACCACAAAACCGCCCATGCAGCCAGCCCTCAAAGAACATGAAAATACCACGAGTTTGATCGTATGTGGCGTAGTTAACACAAATTTCTAAGAATTAACTCGTAACTGCCATCTAAACACAAACTTCCACCAAAGAGATAACTTTTTTTTTAGTCCAAAGGGACTATTGTTTTCGTTTTGCGATTTTCCGTTGGTTCACTATAAATGTCCGTTTTACTTTGCAAACTGTCGCCACCAAATGTTAGAGTCCTGCATTATATTTGAAGAAATTAAATAATTAAAAATCTGAATAAATGTATGTATATTTCTCGCATTGTGATAAAACAACGGTACATAGATTCATCGAATTTTGGATAACGTAATCCTACTGCGAATATGGGCATGTGGAAGTCGAAATTTGGAATTTGTTTTATTATCGATTTCATATTTTGTAAGCCTTTAACGAATTTTTGATTAACAAACTCGAGGATTTCAAAGCGAGCCATGGCAATGTTGTACAGGAAAAACATATTTATCTCCAACGCCTGATACAGCATATCGAAAATTCTAAAGATATGCTCAATTTAAAACTTTTTTGCGATATTGTGCTCTTGAACTGAATTTTATGGTTTAAGTGCAAAGAACGTGATGTTTAATAAATAAAGGTAACAGACAAAATGTTAAAAAAAGTCCCTTTGGACGTAATTTAAAATCTGAAACCTTTCAGATTTTTTTTACCATTATTATTGTTATTTTTTCCTCTAAGTGTACCATTTTTTAGGAAGAACTTAGTAAATTAAAAGACGCCCATGAATAGATTTATGGATATTATTGTATTCTGTATTTCAAACAAGTCATTTAAGTTACTGCTTTCAGAAATATTCTTTTTACTTACACTATAAGGTCCTCCACTTTGTATGCCCAGATTTGGAATTTGCTTCATTATCTATTTCAGATTTTGTAAACCTTTAACGAATTTTTGATTAACAAACTCAACAATTTCAAAGCGAGCAATGGCAACACTGCAAACACACACACACACACACAAAAAAAAAAAAAAAAAAAAAAAGTCCAGCTTGCGAAACTGTGTATCGTAAATTCTAAAGATGGGTCCTTTTTAAGTTATTTTGATATTGCTGCTGAATTTAATTCTATGGTTTAAGTGCGAAGAACATAATATTTAATAAATAAAGGTAACACACAATGTGTTAAAAAAGGGCCCATTGGGCGAAATATAAAAATATAAATCTGAAAGCTTTCAGATTTTTTCCCCTTCTTCTTATTAATATTTCCCAAAAGTGTCTTTTTATGAAATTAGACTCAGATACTAAAGCCTAGACTAAATTTGGTGCAAAATTTCTAACTCTTTTTCTTGCGTACAGAATCGTCAGCATTCAGAACAAAATGTAATGGTAATGATAAAACTAAGTTCCAATATACAATTTGCAATCTTCTTTATAAACTTTTTTTTCAAATTTTACTTAAATGAACTTTTTAATATTTCCATATTTTCCCGCTTATACGCTTTAGAATGTAAACCGAAATATTAAAAAAAAATATTTCTTTTTAAATCTGAGGCCTAAAAATTGTATCTTTTTTTTTATTTAACAATAAATATGTCATTGAATCGGTTAATAAGTATTCCTTTTTTTTTAATAAATCATTATATTCTAATCTGAAAAGTTAGATTATAATCTGAAATTTTCAAAATGCAATTTTTTAATGTATTAATTTTAATTTTAAGTTTTGTTTCAAATGTTTATGAATTCTCTGTTTTCTTCGTTTCTTTCTTTCTTTCCTCCTTTTCTTATTTTACTCCAAAGGGGCAATTTGCTCAGAAGAGCTATAAATTTCGTTTTGGCATTTTACGTCGGTTCACTTTTCAAATTTTTGCCACCAAATATTAAAGCCCTGTATTATATTTAAAGAAATTAAATAATGAAGAATCTGCATGTTTATCCCACTGTGAAAAAACAACGGTACCTAAAGACATCCAAATTTGAATAACGTAGTCCTCCATTCGAAAATGGGCATCTGGAAGCCCGAATTTGCAATTCGTTTTATTATCTATTTCACATTTTGTAACTTCTATTTTATCTTTAATATTTTGTCAAATATTAAAGAATTTTTGATTAAGATACTCAACAATTTTAAATCGAGCAATGGCAACACTGTACGGAGGGGGGGGGGGGGAACATTTTTATCTCCAACGCACAAGACTGCTTATCGGAAATTCTAAAGATATGCTCTTTCAAATCTTCAGGCGTAATATAAAATCTGAAAGCTTTCAGATCTTTATTTTTTTATTTATAGTTATTATTATTTTTGAAAAATATCAGAAGTTCTCCACAAGAGTCTATTTACCATGGCAAAATTTTTCCAGTTATAAAAAAATACTTCAAAAATCAGTTTTTTATGAGGTAGCTTTTAAAATAAATATATTATTAAGAAAGTATAAAATCATTAATTTAATTATTTTATAAATGCTCCCTGTGGGGAACATTCATTGGTAACTGTGAGCTATAGGTTTATAACAATGACCTTCACAATATAGAATATGACGTACCAAGTGACATTTATCGACCGTTCCCGATGACCTTTCAAAAGAATATTTATACGACAAAAATTTCTTTACAGAAGGAATTTAGCATAATATTTCGCTCAAATATGTTATATTTTTAAATTAACAGAAAGTTACTTTGAAAAAATTAAATTATTTGAATGGGGCATTCAAATAATTTCATTTTTTATTATTATTTCTTAGACTGAGATGGAATTCTTATTGTATTTCCTGTAACCTGATAATGTCAGTTTTCAAACTTTGAGGTTATTAAGGCGATTAAAAATTAATTTCGTACTTGAAAAATTTTCTTACACTGAACGTACTAATGAATGGAATTTTTTTCATGTCTGTGTTGCAATGATGTAAAAATAGCACTATGGCATTAATCGTAAAAATATGTTTTTGCTTTTTTCTGCTTTTATTTGAATGCCGTATTCCAAGCTGTCAACTTTTCCGTCAGTGTAAAGAGATGAAACATTTTATAATTTTTGATGAGAAAAATGTAACGAAGATTTTGCTAAAAATAAATATTGGGTAAATGATATTTAAGGGAATTGTTGGGCTTGGCAATAGAAAAAAAATACAGTAGGATACAAATAAAAAGTAACGGTTTTATCACAGCTTCCTTTGTACTGCAACTTACCAAGAGTTAAAATACTATATATATATATATATATATATATATATATATATATTGAAAATAAAATATTTTCAATGTTTTATTTAAAAGCAATATTTCAAAGTACAATTCGTTTTTGAGAACTAAATATTCCATGTTAGAAATATTATAAAAGTAAATTTGCTTCACTATATTCAGAATCTGATATACATGTTAAATAAAATACTATTAGATGATTATTTCATCAGCTTTTTTTATATATATAAAATATTTGAAAAATTTAATTTTTTCCCTCCCTCCAGACAATTTATAAATGATTTCTCCTGATCTCACCCAGGTTTGAGAATCTGCCGATTCCAATTAAGATTATGACTTCGAAAATAAAATTCTTAAAAGATTTGATGATTTAGCACACCTGATGAAGCATTAAGAATTTTTTTAATTAACTAATTGAATCATTCGCTTCTTGAAGAGCTCCTGTTAGCCGAATTAACAGAGGCCAAATTGATAAAGATCCTCCGGATAATTGGTCTTTTTCTGTAAGCCAGTTATGTATTGAATTAACTCGAAAAAAGGAATTTAATTTTTTGCGTTATCGTATTTTATTTATCAAGAAAAATTGCAGAGTTAAAAAATATTTTTGTTTCTATAAAATACTTTAGGCAAAAGAAATTTTTTATTGCCTAAACACATAACTCATTTATATTTCAACTAGAATAAAGCAAAGAAAGTAACACACAGATTTAAAAACGCACGCAAACTTTATAATACATACTTTACACAAATTATAGGTAGATAATTTTAATCATTTCGTTTTCATACTAAATTAAAAGGAAGAAATTACATTTTTATTCTAATACAACAAAATCCATACAACCCATTTCTATACAACTGAAATAAGATATCATTTCTTTTTGAACATATATTAGTAATCTATAATTAAATGATTTAAAATAATAATAAAATATGCGTTTGTATTACATAATGTGTAACTTAATGATTAGATGAATTTTACGGAGCTAGAAAGAACAGAGCGATCTAGTAGCTAACTAAATTTCGAGCAACTAGCTTCCCACTAACTGGTGTTCATCTGTAAAAATGAAAAGAACATCAATAAATTAACAACAAGCTAAATTTCACTTGGCTAAAGATAACTTTGAGTGATCCGGGTAGATAGAATGCAGGATAAGTGAAGTCCATTTAATTTGTCTTTTACTCTGAATCAAAGATCTTTAAATTTTAGACCAAAATGATATTTCCGTTTTTAATTCCGGAACCATACTATAATATATCAAAACTGGTCGAAGAACATGAAGTACATGTTCTCTTATGTACCACTTCCAGAAATGGCTGAAATTCTTCCTTTGAACAAGGTGGCGAGCCATCTTCAAGAAGGAACCGGCTTTTCTTGGAGAAATAGAGGTCATCTTAAGGTGAGCTGGTGGAGTGCTACGGAATAAGATTATATTCAAGAATGAGTTTTGAGAAAGCAAGCCATCCTTACCTGATCGAATGGTGAAGGCGAAGGTAACGAGGAGAGGTAGCCAGAGTTTGCATTTCGTCCAGTTGTCGAAAGCGGCCATGATGGAAATCCAGAGGATAGGTCACGCAGCAACGACCTTGCAGCTGTTAGCAGCCAGTTTAAGGCTGCTATCCAGAGGCAAAACGGCCGAGCGTTTCCCTTTCAAGGATGATGGTCGACCATAGATGTTGTGGAAAGAAATTAATATCGAAATTTCACAGATAAGATATGGAGGTGCCCTAAAAACGTTTCGCGCTGTGGAGAAGGAAGTGTTTAATGATGGAAATGCGACGCATGCGCTCCCTCTTTTTCCTGCTATGAAATGCCCGGATGTCCTGCGATCGATATTCGAATCCTGCGCTCGAACCTTCTCGTCGTCCTTTCCACCCTCCTGAGGTGAAACTGTTCTTTGGTTGTTATTATTTTAGTCACCTTCCCTGGGTCCTCCATAGATGTAGGCACGGGAAAGAAGGTTAAATTATATTATTCTCTCTCCAATCGTGTTACTACCATAGTTTTGCAGTAATTTGGAAATGGGTTATGTGCGTGAAATTTTTCTCCATCCTCCAGCAGTACGTTATCAGAGGTACTGCTGGAGATACTTATGCATAAGTATAGAGAGATGTACCTGTACATAAGGAAAAATTGATGAAATAATCACTAACAGTATTTTATTCCTTTACCTAGATTTGTCTTGTGAAGAATAGATCAGACTTGCACCTTGTAATTAAATTCCTGCTTTTTAAAGTAATAATTAATGATTTTAATGTTATTTCATTCCATGAATCTAAGTCTAAACTCATCGTATCGAAACCATTGAGCATTAATATTATAATCCAAGCTATCATTTCTCATTAACCGTTCAGTATGCTTCTGGTATTTAACTTCGCACAACTTAACTATTCTCATGTAAAAAAAATGCAATTCCGATACACACTTAGGAAAGGGCTAATTTCATATTTAATAAATCATGTAACAAATAATCTTCTTCTAAAAAATGATATTACCTATTGAACTGTTGAGTTTACTAAGAACTTTTCTTGAGAATTGAGAATCACGAGACATGAAAAACAAAAATTCACCACAATTCTTTATAAATCTGGAGATTTCCTACGTCAGAATTCTTAAATAAAATCTCCACTTTAGATTTATTGGGTAAGATTATGGCTATTATTTTATACTGATTCTTGTTGGTATAAATGATTAATCTAGTATTTACATTATGGAAACATCTTCTCACGCTGTTTTCACTTTCGTTGAACATTTATATTACTGTCCATGTGTAAGCAATGCTTAAATTACGGCGGAGTTGAATTCTGGTGCTTCTCACTTGAGATTCAGAACACATAAGCCTAAATAAGATGAGAGCCTAAATCATCAGCCTAAACCTTCACAGCATAAACCACCAGAGCCTAAATAAGATGGGCTCCGACATATGGGCAAATTTTAAAGTATGGACTTTATTTAAGCTGAAGAGACTGCTGTCCGCAAAATCAAAATTGTTCTGTCCCTCGAACGCTGCAGCTTCCTGCTGTGAAAATCAAATATTATATCGTCTAATTCCACATTCTCAAATTCTGTAAAAGAGTAACTTTTAAAATATTTTGGAGTTTCCTTTTAATAAAAGGCACTATTTTTCTTTTTTTAGAAGATTAATGCAATGTAAGAATTCTTCGATTCCAGAAATTTGAAGTAAATTGTATTCTGTTTTCCCTATGGATTTGCTTGTATAAATTTGTTGCCAGATTCTCTTCCGGTAAACATTTTTTCAAATAACGATTTAATTCATACGTTCTTTCCAAAGCTTAGAATGCGAAAGTGTAATATTTTTTCAAAGGAACAGCAATTTAAATACTTGAGATACTGCTTCTCTTCAAAATGATTTGTCGTTGTAAGTTTAATTCTGTTTCCGTGTCTTTAGCAGAAGAGAGTTCATTGGTATATGCCAGGTAAATCCTGTTATTTTCATCTTTTGTTATTTCTGATTTTCTAAAATTACTGTCTAGTTAGGTTACATTATGCTACTAAAGCATTTATCATTCATTCGGTTTGGCAAGTACTTCTGTTGCAAGAGGTATTAAATTTTTCATTTATATGCACGTGAAGTGTCACACTGCCTACTTTCGGAGATTTTCTGTTTCTGCACCTCCGAAAATAATAATATTAATATTTAATTTACTATTAAAAATAAAACAGCTTATTGCTCTTTTAACCAAGCCTTTCAAACTAACGTACATATTTCTTAATAATTCATATCTTAATAATATTTTTATACTACCTCAGCCTGATACGCATAAAACTCTTAGGATTTATTGCATATCTAATTGATAATTTCTATAAAATTTTGCACTTGAAGATTACTCATAAAAAAATATTTCATGAATCATAAACTGTTACATATTTCAGCCCTCGTTTAACCGTCGCCTGAAAGCGAGGAATTTTTGTTTGTTTATTTGCTTTTGTACTGTATTCCATTACGTGGGTTTTTGATCTCATCTAACAAGGTTACCAAATTAAAAACTGATTTAAAGTAATTAACGGCTGAGCGGGAAGCATATTTCACAAGTGCACATCAGCGTAGCCACTGAGGGAGGGGTTTCGAAAATGGACCAATGAGCTGCTATTGCTCTTGTGACACTAAATCTTCGCGCATGAGAGCGTATGTTTGCGTTTTAATTTGCATTTGTTTCGCAGTTATAAATACACTCACTTCCAACCGTTAAGCACGAAGAGGAAAATGGTTATTTCCGGAAGCCAATCAGAATTGAAGAGGACGCAATTCGCTGCAGAGGTAGATGAAAGTATGCAAATATGTTAGGTAACAGCCAATTGCGCTTTCATGTCAAGAAATATGCAAAAAAGACAGTTTTATAAGAAGCCAGCTTTATGAAGGGTTACAGAAGTTGATTGTAAATGCTGATAGAAGGTGTTTAAAACTTTCGTACAATTTTTTCAAGACATGCGTGTTTTTCAAGACTTCCATAAGATGAATGGAAGATTCTGAGCGCTGCCGTGCTGTGGGGTGCATCGAAGCTGGACAGTCGATCACAGATGTTGCTCTTTTCTTCGGCGTTCATCATTCTGTAATTTCACGTATATGGAAACAACTCCAAACCACACAGACAGTTGTCCGAAGGCCCGTAGCCGGTCGCCCAAGGGTTACAACCCCCACGGAAGATCGATATATTGCTATTGTAACCAAGTGGAATTGCAGAGCGACCTCCACACGTGTGACATCTATGGTTACAGCGTCCATTGGTAAGGCGACATTTACAGCTTCTGTACGTCGAAGATTACATATGAGTGGACTGTACGCCCAGGTACATCGAGTTTGTGTTCCTCTATCCGTCCAATCAAGAGGGGCACGATTACAGTGGTGCCGGGAACATGTCAATTGGAATGTGTCTGAGCAATGTCATGTTTACTGATGAGTCAAGATTTGCTCTGGAGCCAGATGACAAGCGTATAAAAATATGGCGTGAACAACGAACACGCAATTAGTCCCAAAACATCACCGAAAATAATAATAATCAATAAGACATCACGCATTCCGAAGCGGAAACATTATGGTGTGGGCAGGGATTTCATTAGGATACCGCACCGACCTTCACATCTTTAAACGGCGTTCTTTGAGGGCTGCCCGGTATCGAGATGAAGTCCTAGAACCCATTGTGAGATTGTACGCTGCAGCAGTTGGCCCTACGTTTGTTTTAATGGACGATAGCGCACGTTCCCACAGAGCTGACATCGTCGACGACTACCTGGAGAGTGAAAGGATTGCACGTATGGCGTGGCCAGCATATTCGCCCGACCTTAATCCCATTGAAAATCTTTGGGATACTCTCAGCCGTGCTGTATCTTCACGTTTCCCACCTCCAGCCACTCTTATTGAGCTGGAAACTGCTCTACAAGAAGAATGGCGATTGCTTAATTCTGCGGTGGTTGACCACCTAATTGAAAGCATGGTCACAAGGTGTAAACTTTGTATACAGATGAGGGGGGATCACATACCCTATAAATGTCCTTTTTTTTTTTTTTTTTTTTTTTTTCATTTTATGCTGTTTATTTCCCCTTTATACTTAATTCTATTTAAGTCTCCAGTATGTCATTATCTGACAACTTACAAAATTTAATATTGCTTTCATTTCTGTATATAATTATTGAGTTTGTTTTATGCATAAATATATATGCTACTTTACTGCCGAATTTTGTGTCAATTAAAGCGGTATTTGTTGATTTTTTTGCATTTTACATCTTCGTGCTTAACTTTTGGAAGTGAATGTATATGGTGTAATTGTCCGATAAAATATTTAAGAGATATTTTTGTTAACGTAATTTAATCGTTCTTTAAATTACATTAAGAAAAATCTCAGTTTTTTTTTTTTTTTTTTTTTTTTTTTTTTTTAATGTATGTTATTACATTAACGAAGACCCCCCTCCCCTCCTCAAGAAAACAGCATCTAAAATTTCATGTGTTTTTCATGTTTCAAAATACAAAATGTTTAGCTTAGTTTTTATAATCAATTAAACTTTGGTTGGTACTTTACCGTTTTGCCACTCTCAGTTGTACTGGCCACCATCAGTTGTACTGGCATCAGTTGGCGACTGATGCCAAACAGAATATCCTCGCTGGTAACCTTTTACGCATCATTTTCAAAACACGTCGCAGCCATTTCTTATCAGATTCACTGTTTCAATACTGGCATTAAATTACATAGAATTTTTACCAGATAGTTCAATTTTATGCCCTAAGACCATTCGCGGTCATTAAGTCAATTAGGATGCAATCACACCGCTCACCCGAAGACGAAAATATAGAAAAGACGAAGTCAACGGTTAACTTCATCCATTCTAATGAGAATGCACTAACGAAGTAAAGCACTGCGGTTTTACATAATTTGAGTAAGCTATTCGTACGAATTGAAATAATTCTTGCATTCCAAATTAAGATTTAACTTGAAATTAATGTAGATTTACTGAGAATTACTGAGAGAATTAGATTTTTGTAGCGTAGTTTACGCGAGATGAGATCATTTGGGATCACGTGATATGAACCGGCGAATCAAGATGTTGAACCCTGAAAGCATAGTAAATCCTTAAATTAATGTCGTTTTACAAATTTATTGTTTTTATTTATTGGCGCTTTATAAAATTTTAAATATTAAAATGTTTATGCCTTCAATATAAAAAAATCTTAGAACTAACATTTGTTAACATTTTTTATGTGTATACTGTATGTTGTCGCCAATAAAGTCTCCTTGCCGAAATTTGCGCCGGCGA